ACTTAAAACTGAGCAGATGACAAGAGGATTTCAGGCACTTCACCAAATTATGGAATGCTATGTTTACAAAATCAATAGAAAAGTTTATATAAGTACATAACTGTTCACTTAATATAGTTATAACTAAATTAATAGTTGATTTTAATATATATATGTATATATTAATTATTATTATTACTGTTATGGAACATATAATAACTTCTGAAAGCAATATATTATTAAAAAATAATAATTATTATTATTACAACAAACAACAAAATTTGATTTTAATTGTAACAAAGTATTAAAGATATGTTATGTAAGTTTGGTGTAAAAATTAAATATAGTTATGGTACACACAAAAAAATTTAAATGAAAAACATAGTTTTATCATTTAAAAGTACATAAAACTAGCACAAATATTGTGCTTTTACTCTTATCTTTCCGGAAACAAAGCAATGCTTTGCGTGTTTTGCTTCGTATAAAGGAGCGACGTTTCGTTCCTTTGGCGTGCGGTCTGCAATTTTCTCTTCCGTTCTTTAACTTGGAAGTTTAAATCAGAACTGGAGGCACTTCTCCGCAGATGAGGTAGACTTATACTATGAAGTGGATACATTTATGAGTTGTTAGTGGTTTAAGTCACATTGGTGTTGACACTGACTGTTTAAAAAAGAAAAAAAAAACTACATGAAACTGGAGTTAGAACACTAAGGCTAAGTAAGGCTTGCCAGATTTATACAATGTCAAAACTGGGACAGGCAACAGAAGCTCCTTCATCTCCCAAATTACAATTTAATGTACTTAAATTTCATGCAACACAAGATTCACTTATTACAACAAGAAAACAATGCAATAGTTAGCCAATGACTGACTCAAGACACATGATATCCTGTCTTTGTTCTTATTTGACAGGAGGGATGGAAGGTCGTAGGGGTGCATTGGAGTAGGAACTGACAGTAATTCAGCCGTCAAGCTGGTGCTGGACGTCACGATCAAGCCACCTTTCGCGGCAAAAGTTGCTCTTCTGTCTTTCGATTTACATAAATTACAAACCAGCTGCAATACTGGACATCACCCTAAAAATGGGACTGTTCAGGTTGAACCGGGATGTCTGGCAAGCCTAAGGATAAGCCTAAGGATAACTTACCTCCTCATCGGGTTCTTCATTAAGAGAGAGGAAATTAGATGACGGTAAGTCTTGAGATAATAAACTATCACTACGTTCAGGTTTAGACAGCATACTGGATTGATCTAAATCGGTCACTCCGTCCCCCACGATGCTGGTATCCGTGCAAAAGCCGCTCTCTGCAAGCAAATGTTAATAAGTAAAAAAAAAGATCTAGATTTGTTTATGTTGCCAGATTTTAATCGACTTACCCGTCGAACATTGCGATTGTTGCGTCACGGATCTACATCCCCTGTGGGGACTGTCACTGGACTCGACTCCTAGATTGACATTAGTACATAAACTAAAAGAGGAATGACTACTTCCCGAAGACGAAGAAGAACTAATAGATATTATAGAATGTGGACGTTTGTTGCGCATTTGTTCAAACGATGACATTCCAGTACTGCCTCGATAATACGAACCTACAAAAAAATTTCTACTTTAGTTGGAGTTTTGACTCACTTTTATTAAAATTACATAATATTACACCAATAAAAGTTAAAAGATTCGAGGAAATAGAATGTCCTGATCCTCTAACAGAGGCAGAATATAGAAACACCCCTCAAGTTGCTAGATATAATGTAATAAACAGTTCACTTTTGGATGATGTTATAATAAAAACAGAAAATATCAGATAAAATATTGATAATTTAGGTATTCTTCTAACAAAAATTACAGTAAATAATTGCACAACTTACCCCTATTTAACTGATGATGAAGATTAACAAATCTATCATTTATCTGATCTTCATTTGGTCTAATATCTAAACATGGTTTTCTTCCAATGCCCATAGATGACATTTCGGCTAGGCGCATCTCTGAAAGAGTTTCATTTGTTTTTATAATATTAATACTATTTTAAAAGGAAAGAGATGATATGTTTGCTTGAGAGATCACCGAGTGATGTGTTAAAAATAGTTTCATTTAGGCATTTTCATCTTGTATATTGTATTTACCATCCTCTGGCTCTGTATTTTCACTTGATGCCTTTATTCGTGTTATTTAGAAATATTAAACCTTATAATTAATTAAAAATTAGTTCTCACCTCGATTTCTAAGCGCCTGCTTCCATAACAATTTAGATATCTCTTGCACCCAAAGATGTTTGATTTCTGCGTTTGGAGCCTGTAAGACATAAGTATCTTGCAATTTCCTCTTCCTGAACCAAATTTCGAATTTCGTAGGGCTCTCTCCGATTTGTTCCGTTAGACCTATGTCAGTCGTCTAGACAAAAAATGAAATGTTTTGAGTATTTTGCTTTATAAATTAGAAAAGAAACTTAAGCCCATTCAGCAAAGCATTAATAACGTTTGGATAACATTATGTACTTCACCAGATAAAATTACTGAACTCTGATAGTTGGTTATGTGTTCTCATCTCATCAACAGTAAAGCCACATGGAGTTTCTGTGTTTACTTCATGTGTCGAATACCTAAATAGAGGAAGGGTATGCATAGAAAGTCCTGTCAGGAGGCATTCCCACTTTGGCACATCACTCTAGTGTTGTATTGCCTTACATTCATCAATTCAATAAAAGTAACATTATGCAGACATTATGCAGAGTAGATATAGATGATATCAAACATATTAACTAATATTGTTTGTTTTGTTTTGTTTTGTTTTGTAATGGCAATGCAACACTTAGGTGATCTGCCTAGTCCCCTTCGGGAGGTCTTTTTAATAGTAATTGGCCTCTATTGAGATTTTAGAGACATGGAGATAACTTGAAAAACTCCCCGTGGCCATCCAATCCTGGCGAGGTGCAAACCCATGACCGAACTGTCAGTATTAATACTTCTTTGAGGAATCCTGTTCAAGTCTCAGTTGAATCATAACCTATCCTTTACATACAGCTATCTGTGTACATTATGAGGTTGGTCAAAGCCTCGATGGACATGTTAAAAAGACCCTATTGGTGTCTAAAAGTTAGAAAGAGATTTTTAAAAATATTCAAAATAAATTGCTGAATATATATATTAATTTTAATTTAGAATATTCTGGAAAGAAAGAATTGGCCAAGAGAGGCTCAAATCCAATTTTTTTCTCCAGAATATTCTATTAATAAATTGCAATTAATATATTTCTCATTATTAAATTTACCATGAGATGGTAATATAACTGTCTACCTGTAGCCAAATTGAGATGTATTTAATTATTTATTAGCTTAAAATAGCCTGATGGATTATCTGACAGATTGTTTGGCAAAACATTCTGATAAAGTTCATTCTATTTAAAGCAAAATTATAACATAATTGATAGCTGAAAAAATTGATATAAGTCTAAATAACATTGACTTTTTCATTATTAAAGAACTGAGTATTTAATAATAATAATAATAAATCTAATTTTATATTTCTAGGCAATAAAATTATTATATGCTGAAAAAGAGAAGAAGAACAAGACAAATTTATATTTTGTTGTTGGAAATAGATTACTTCAGTACAAGTCAACCCCCCTATAACACTGTTGATTTTTCCGTTTTATATGAATTCCATGTTGTACGAGTCACTTAGATTTTACAAATACATGTGCCGGGCTGTGAACGGCTCAAGTATTTGTAAAATCTAAGTGACTCGTACAACATGGAATTCATATAAAACGGAAAAATCAACAGTGTTATAGGGGGGTTGACTTGTACTGAAGTAATCTATTTCCAACAACAAAATATAAATTTGTCTTGTTCTTCTTCTCTTTTTCAGCATATAATAATTTTATTGCCTAGAAATATAAAATTAGATTTATTATTATTATTATTAAATACTCAGTTCTTTAATAATGAAAAAGTCAATGTTATTTAGACTTATATCAATTTTTTCAGCTATCAATTATGTTATAATTTTGCTTTAAATAGAATGAACTTTATCAGAATGTTTTGCCAAACAATCTGTCAGATAATCCATCAGGCTATTTTAAGCTAATAAATAATTAAATACATCTCAATTTGGCTACAGGTAGACAGTTATATTACCATCTCATGGTAAATTTAATAATGAGAAATATATTAATTGCAATTTATTAATAGAATATTCTGGAGAAAAAAATTGGATTTGAGCCTCTCTTGGCCAATTCTTTCTTTCCAGAATATTCTAAATTAAAATTAATATATATATTCAGCAATTTATTTTGAATATTTTTAAAAATCTCTTTCTAACTTTTAGACACCAATAGGGTCTTTTTAACATGTCCATCGAGGCTTTGACCAACCTCATAATGTACACAGATAGCTGTATGTAAAGGATAGGTTATGATTCAACTGAGACTTGAACAGGATTCCTCAAAGAAGTATTAATACTGACAGTTCGGTCATGGGTTTGCACCTCGCCAGGATTGGATGGCCACGGGGAGTTTTTCAAGTTATCTCCATGTCTCTAAAATCTCAATAGAGGCCAATTACTATTAAAAAGACCTCCCGAAGGGGACTAGGCAGATCACCTAAGTGTTGCATTGCCATTACAAAACAAAACAAAACAAAACAAACAATATTAGTTAATATGTTTGATATCATCTATATCTACTCTGCATAATGTCTGCATAATGTTACTTTTATTGAATTGATGAATGTAAGGCAATACAACACTAGAGTGATGTGCCAAAGTGGGAATGCCTCCTGACAGGACTTTCTATGCATACCCTTCCTCTATTTAGGTATTCGACACATGAAGTAAACACAGAAACTCCATGTGGCTTTACTGTTGATGAGATGAGAACACATAACCAACTATCAGAGTTCAGTAATTTTATCTGGTGAAGTACATAATGTTATCCAAACGTTATTAATGCTTTGCTGAATGGGCTTAAGTTTCTTTTCTAATTTATAAAGCAAAATACTCAAAACATTTCATTTTTTGTCTAGACAACTGACATAGGTCTAACGGAACAAATCGGAGAGAGCCCTACGAAATTTGAAATTTGGTTCAGGAAGAGGAAATTGCAAGATACTTATGTCTTACAGGCTCCAAACGCAGAAATCAAACATCTTTGGGTGCAAGAGATATCTAAATTGTTATGGAAGCAGGCGCTTAGAAATCGAGGTGAGAACTAATTTTTAATTAATTATAAGGTTTAATATTTCTAAATAACACGAATAAAGGCATCAAGTGAAAATACAGAGCCAGAGGATGGTAAATACAATATACAAGATGAAAATGCCTAAATGAAACTATTTTTAACACATCACTCGGTGATCTCTCAAGCAAACATATCATCTCTTTCCTTTTAAAATAGTATTAATATTATAAAAACAAATGAAACTCTTTCAGAGATGCGCCTAGCCGAAATGTCATCTATGGGCATTGGAAGAAAACCATGTTTAGATATTAGACCAAATGAAGATCAGATAAATGATAGATTTGTTAATCTTCATCATCAGTTAAATAGGGGTAAGTTGTGCAATTATTTACTGTAATTTTTGTTAGAAGAATACCTAAATTATCAATATTTTATCTGATATTTTCTGTTTTTATTATAACATCATCCAAAAGTGAACTGTTTATTACATTATATCTAGCAACTTGAGGGGTGTTTCTATATTCTGCCTCTGTTAGAGGATCAGGACATTCTATTTCCTCGAATCTTTTAACTTTTATTGGTGTAATATTATGTAATTTTAATAAAAGTGAGTCAAAACTCCAACTAAAGTAGAAATTTTTTTGTAGGTTCGTATTATCGAGGCAGTACTGGAATGTCATCGTTTGAACAAATGCGCAACAAACGTCCACATTCTATAATATCTATTAGTTCTTCTTCGTCTTCGGGAAGTAGTCATTCCTCTTTTAGTTTATGTACTAATGTCAATCTAGGAGTCGAGTCCAGTGACAGTCCCCACAGGGGATGTAGATCCGTGACGCAACAATCGCAATGTTCGACGGGTAAGTCGATTAAAATCTGGCAACATAAACAAATCTAGATCTTTTTTTTTACTTATTAACATTTGCTTGCAGAGAGCGGCTTTTGCACGGATACCAGCATCGTGGGGGACGGAGTGACCGATTTAGATCAATCCAGTATGCTGTCTAAACCTGAACGTAGTGATAGTTTATTATCTCAAGACTTACCGTCATCTAATTTCCTCTCTCTTAATGAAGAACCCGATGAGGAGGTAAGTTATCCTTAGGCTTATCCTTAGGCTTGCCAGACATCCCGGTTCAACCTGAACAGTCCCATTTTTAGGGTGATGTCCAGTATTGCAGCTGGTTTGTAATTTTGTCCCAAGGTACCAAAAATTTATGTAAATCTAAAGACAGAAGAGCAACTTTAGCCACAAAAGTTGGCTTGATCTCGACGTCCAACACCAGCTTGATGGCTGAATTACTGTCAGTTCCTACTCCAATGCACCCCTACGACCTTCCATCCCTCCTGTCAAATAAGAACAAAGACAGGATATCATGTGTCTTGAGTCAGTCATTGGCTAACTATTGCATTGTTTTCTTGTTGTAATAAGTGAATCTTGTGTTGCATGAAATTTAAGTACATTAAATTGTAATTTGGGAGATGAAGGAGCTTCTGTTGCCTGTCCCAGTTTTGACATTGTATAAATCTGGCAAGCCTTACTTAGCCTTAGTGTTCTAACTCCAGTTTCATGTAGTTTTTTTTTTCTTTTTTAAACAGTCAGTGTCAACACCAATGTGACTTAAACCACTAACAACTCATAAATGTATCCACTTCATAGTATAAGTCTACCTCATCTGCGGAGAAGTGCCTCCAGTTCTGATTTAAACTTCCAAGTTAAAGAACGGAAGAGAAAATTGCAGACCGCACGCCAAAGGAACGAAACGTCGCTCCTTTATACGAAGCAAAACACGCAAAGCATTGCTTTGTTTCCGGAAAGATAAGAGTAAAAGCACAATATTTGTGCTAGTTTTATGTACTTTTAAATGATAAAACTATGTTTTTCATTTAAATTTTTTTGTGTGTACCATAACTATATTTAATTTTTACACCAAACTTACATAACATATCTTTAATACTTTGTTACAATTAAAATCAAATTTTGTTGTTTGTTGTAATAATAATAATTATTATTTTTTAATAATATATTGCTTTCAGAAGTTATTATATGTTCCATAACAGTAATAATAATAATTAATATATACATATATATATTAAAATCAACTATTAATTTAGTTATAACTATATTAAGTGAACAGTTATGTACTTATATAAACTTTTCTATTGATTTTGTAAACATAGCATTCCATAATTTGGTGAAGTGCCTGAAATCCTCTTGTCATCTGCTCAGTTTTAAGTCATTTTATATCCATTTTTTATTAATATTATACAATTTACAAAAGGAAAATGTTAAACAATTGAAGTATTTATTGATTTTTTTTACTCATTTATCCGATTGTTCAGTTTTTTGAGCAAAAATTGGACAATACCAAAGCCAGTTACTGAGAAATTCGGATTTCGGGTCATTCGCCATCCAAAACTCCATCCATTATCAATTGCTAGAATTAAATTATGTCATTCAAATAGATAAATGAGGCATAATAATGCTATATTTAAAATTATCCAACCATTACAATGTCTCAAACTATGTTAATTAAACCAAAAACTAGCCAGATAATCAAAATTTACTTCTACCAATCCACATTAGAATTGAAAATGGTAATCTCTACAGTCTCTTGATATATCCAGAACAGTATTTATCATCCTTTAAGCAATAACAGATCATCTCACTCAATAGAACCATTGTTAAAAACCAGAAATTTACCTTAAATTCCTAGTCTTTAAGATCGACAGTCATCCACTTGTTATTTATCAAACGACAAATCATTTTGCGTAGAATTGTAATGTGATATTGAAGTCCACATCAATTGCCTAAGTAGCTCGCCTTCTTTAAAGTAATATTTATGAAATGAATGAAACAAAAATTCCAGTATTTGTCACGATGAAGACGGGACCACCCGCAGGTGGTTATGTATATATTATATATATATAACGAGGAATATAAAGGATTTGTTCTGTGTAAAAAAATATGCTGTTTTTATTCATCTTAGGTGCCATTTATTGTCTTGATCTAATGTGTGTTCTCGAACAGATTTTATAATCAGTAAAATGCAATGTTTATAAGTCTCACTAAAAGTAATAAAAAGTTTTCTGTAAATAAAATTAGTTTTAGTGTGTGTTTATTTTACAATTTTACAAGAATTCTGCAATGTTATAATTAACTAAACACTAGAAAGAATGAATTTACAAGACTTCTTCAAGTTCAAATGTAAATATTAATAGATGAAACATGAGTACCCCTGCCTATACTCATACATGCTTCATCTTTCCATCTGGTTGCCCTTTTTCTGATCACCAAAGGAGTCTTAAATTTATTATTAAAGAAACAAAACAATTTATGACTTTAGCCTATTTTGCAAACATAAAAGAAACTAATGAACAATATTTGTCCACTGTCTCATAAAAACTATGCCTGATTTCAACCAGTGATGCCTTGTGAGAGTGCTAATTCAATGTTAAATCATAGTTTGAAGCTTCTTGCTAAATGTATGATACTTTTTTGTATAGTCTGCAGATGCCACTGGGTATGAGATTAAGTATTAAGAAAAGCTTATGTTATGAAATCATATATTATACATACTTCTTATGGGCACTTCCAACTAAGCTGAGGGATTTTCTATCTCGTAGTCCTCTGTAGCTAAGGCTTTGCATTCTCTGAGAAAATTACATACAGTAAGAAATTTATGTGTTTTTCAAGACTAACATGTTTTCACTGTTTAGATGAACAATAAACATAGTAGTTCCTGCAGTTTTCTATGCTTGAACACACCCGGTTTAGACACTTTTTTGTTCTAAGAATGCCTTATGATATATACAATGAAATCTTTGTTTAACTTTCCAGTATAAACTAAAACTGTATTTGTGTGTTAAATTACTCTGTATTTTTTAAATATTATTTTAAGTCCTGATCTATTTTAAGTACTGAAATCCTACCTTTCAAAGTTATTGATTCCTATTCCATTTGTTGTGTTACAGATCAAACTTCATTTGTATACCAAGTTCTAAATGTAAACATGTTCCATCTCTTGCATTTTTAAACATACATCACAGGAGATAGAAGGATCTATCCTTTGCTTTTTTAGAGATACATCAGAAGGATAGTAAGAAAGGATCCATCCCTTCATGCTAACCTTCAGTATATTCTGTTTTCTCAGTGCCATTGACTTGTAATCTATAGGTTGTGGACCAAAATCATATTTATCTGGTATTTTACACTCACTGTCACTGCATCTGAATGATACCAGTTCTTGTTGGTATGTACCCAGGGGCAGCCCTAGGGTGGTGCAAACGGTGAGACCACCAATCCCAAGAACTGAAGACAATGGACCACCAGTTCCAAGAGTTAAGGCCCGAGGGCCGATAAGACAAAAAGAATGGGTTAGTCTTGACTGGACCTTGGTGGGAGTAAGACTTGAAGAGAAGGGTGCTCCAGATCGCAAGTAGGCGACTAGGGGCTACTTGAGACTGTCATATCTAGCAATTTTATCTGTCAAAAATAGTATTGCCCAGGAATTAAATTATTCTGAATTAATAACAACATTTGCAAGCGCAAAAGTGAGGAAGGTGGCAATATGGGCTTTTTATTTTATTTTATTTCTTAATTTGTTTCAATTTCAAATTAATTTACCATGTAAATTTGTCTTTTGCGTGATGTGAGCGTTGTCTGTGCCATAGCAGTTTAAGTAAATATTGCTATCAGTTTAGTCTCTACAGGGGGGACGCCACAATGAGATTTCGCACCATCTGAAAACCTGGCTAGGGCCGCCACTGTATCTACCGAAATACAGCATATCTTGTTGGTATATGCCATAATGATGCTGGTATCGTTATGCACATACCAACAAGATATGCTGTATTTTGGTACAGTACATACAGGTACATACCAGCAAGAAGGCTTTATGCAAGTTGTATTCGATTTGTGTGTGTTTGAAATCATATGAGCACAACATTAATCAATATTTATATAAAAGATGTCATCTCGTATTAATCGACTTTTGGGCCATCCTCTTGTCACACGAATCATAATCGAAACTTTGATAAATTTTTATGGGCGTTTTATCAAAGTTCGAAGTTTATTTCTTGTTTCAATTTAGTTAAGGTAAGAATTATCTATAATAACAGTATTTAAAACCGAAACGACGTGTCACTATAACTACAATGAGACCTCGATTTAGCGTTCCGAGTAGTCCCCGTTACGTCTTGCATTAGTCTTTGGTTTCGTTTTGCACGAATTCGTGTAACACGTCAATTTTTCAGAACGTAAATACCGTATTATACCCCGTAAAACACGGTAGTTACGTTCAATTTACACTCGAAACCTTAACTATACTAATAATACTAAACAATTTTACAAGCAAATACCTTACTTACCTTAAAATTAATATAAAAGTTTATAAAGTAGCGCAATGACGAACACAAAAAACGCAACCTTCATTGTCATAACCCAAACCTGGTGTATGGCATTAACAGACGCATTAATTAACGCAACAGTAACAATAGCCATAACAAAGTTCAGGAAAACCTTCTGGAACTCCATTTCATTGTTACAGAAACAGGCAGTTAACACAAACAGAATTCTAAACAAGTGTAACTTTATACGTACGTGTTTTTCTGACTTTATCTCCTTCCAAATATTGGAAATTTTTAATTTAAATTTCCATAAAGAACGTTCATTAACGTCACTTCTATTCGGATTCATTTTGAAAAATTAAAATACACAGTTCGTTCGATAAGTTATCTACAAAAAGTGACGGTTAATTAGGTTTTTAAAAAAACACAGAGAATTGAGTCATAAGTTACGATGGTTACTGATAAATTACGCTATTTTCTCTCGCTGCCAATGAACGAAATCGATATAATAACGGTTAATTTTTACACGATTAAATTAGTAAAATGGCGGGCATATATAAACTTGTATGCCACTGTACTTAAAAATGGCGCTTATTCGTTGCATGCCGCTAAGTAAACCAATGAAATATTTCGTTTCGTACGAAACAGACACTGTCATTTGCTTGTTTACTTAGCTGCTTTCAACAGGTCGAGCCCATTGTCTTCGGGTAGGGTTTATCATTTCCCTGTCTTTTACTTGCCCCTATCACACTGTTGATTAATTCCGTTTTATATGAATTCCATGTTGTACGAGTCACTTAGATTTTACAAATACGTGTGCCGGGCTGTGAACGGCTCACGTATTTGTAAAATCTAAGTGACTCGTACAATATGGAATTCATATAAAACGGAAAAATCAACAGTGTTATAGGGGGTTCGACTGTACTTCCTTTGTTAATTAAATAAATACTTTTGTTAAATTTATTACTTTGTTTCCCATTTGTGACATGCCATAACGAGGAAAAATTAACAAAAAAGTAATAAGTAGATTTAAAATTAATAAATACAGATGTATTCTGACAGTTTATGTGTTAATTATACTTTCTATTTGCAAAATTTCCTGTCAACCTTAACACAAAATAAGAAAAAAAATGAACTTTTCAAAAATTTGCGGGATTTTCCAGGATAGTTCCCGTATTAAAAGAACAACCGGGATCTCGGGATCTCGTTTGAGAAATCCTAGTCTCATGAATGGCGCATTTGTTAATTAAAACCTGATGTAAAACACCTGCATTAATTAATACACTAGTGTTGGGTATTGCATAGAATTAATTTATTTCTACTTATTACTTATTGTGACATCATCACAATGCCAGGCAACGATTCTTAATCATATTTCTATAAAAAAAAATTACGTGACTTCCGGTCCGGATCGGAAGTTCGTATATAGTTACAGCTTATGTAGAGCGACCTCCTGTATGTACACTTAGCACCATCTGTTGAGGAATAAAACAAGTAAATATATATTCTTTTGTACCACTTAGTGATAAGTTCACTTATTTTTCCCTTGACAATTCTTGCATTTTACAATTGTCTGGAAAAATTTCTAAGTTTTCTGGCCATGGGCATGTAGATTTATCGTGTATTTTACAACTCCATTTGCCTAGAATATTAAGAGACCTCAGACTTGTGTCCTATCCATAACCTAACCCTTTCCTGTTCCACCAAATAATAATAAATTTAAAAGCACGAGATTTAGATTAAGAAGAACAGTAGCTTACTTAGATTAGGAAGAAATTCGGGCCTAAAGACTCGAAACGATTTTTTACATGTAAAATGAATAAGATACTAAGCGTGACTGTATTAAATTGTGTTTAATAATTATCCAAATATTTATTTAAATTATATTGTGATACGAAAAAGCCCTGTAAAGTTCTATAACTTAGGGCCTCCCTGAATAAAATTAAATACATTAAATGAAAATTTACAGATAAATGCAAGTACAATGCGATTGTTAAAGACTTGATTGTTCTTCAAGGTGTTCTTCACCGTTTTCTTCGTTTAATTCTTTGCTTTACGAATTAAAAAATAGAAAAATTAGCATTAAAAAAAATAATTTACTTTCTTGTCAATATTACAGAAAATTAAATATTTATTAATTTATACACTATAATTCATGAAATTTATAACGTTTCTGTAGTTGGGAAAGAAATTAATTGATTTGATTCATTTTTAGTATATGAAATTTAAGTTTAATATCAATTAATAACTTGGACTAGAGTTTTAAATAAGGTGTGATCTGATCCCGTGTATATTGATGTATTGTATACACTCAAAACAAAAAATATTGTTTTGCGTGTAAAATGAAATGTATTAATTAATCAGACAGAATATAAAACTAAACTATACTCTTAAGAACGCATCTAGAACTAGAGAAGAGTCGCGTGAAATTATCTAAAACTGAAGAAGACTGGTAATACAGCTAGAAAATACTCTCAAGAGAGCATCTAAAACTGAAGAA